ACGAGCATTCAGTTTGCGATGTTAGTTTCTTCTCGCACGTATCGACACGATCTGAGCGACGGTCCGTCTTCGTCTCCCTCCTTCCCTCCCTCACTTCTTCGGACCCGCGAGCCCGTCGTGCGGCTCGCGCTTCGGGAGCAGTTTCTCCATGATCCCGCCGCCGTACTGCCGCTTGAGCGCCGCGTCCTCGCGGTCGTCGACCTCGTTCTTGAATGCGTTCGCCGCCGGGTTGGCGGGCTCTTTGTCGAAGAGCCCCTCTCTCGGCTCGCGTTTCGGGAAGAGCGCGGCGAACGCGTCCTTGACGCTCGTGCCTCGCGCGGCCGCGGCCGCGACCGCCTTCACGAGCTCGCCGCCTTCCCGCGGCTCTTTCTCCGTCGCGACCGCGGTGGCGGCGGGCTCGGGCTCGGGCGCGGGCGCGGCGGCCTCCTCCGCGTCGTCCTCCGTCAGCTTCGGTCCCGCGAGGCCGTCGTGCGGCTCGCGCTTCGGGAGGAGCGCGTCTAAGATCCCGCCCCCGCCGCCGTACTGCCGCTTCAGCGCGTACTCCTCCGCCTCCGTGACCTCGTTCTTGAAGGTGTTCGCGGCCGGGTTCGGCGCGTCGAAGAGCCCCTCTCTCGGCTCGCGCTTCGGGAAGAGCGCGCCGAGGGGGTCCTTCCCGAACGTGAAGAGGATCGATCCGTCGCTCTGCTCGTCTCCGGAAGAGGCGCGCGTCGCGGATCGCGCGCCGCGAGATCGCGTCGCCGCGTTCCGGCGCGGCGTAGACTGAAAATTCGCGCGGACGACAGAGCCCGCGCTGATCGCGGAGATGACGTGCATCGTTCGCGCGTGAGAGGTCGTCGCGCGTGCGGATATGCCGCGCGCGTCGAGGGCGATCTCATCGGATAGTGTATCCGCGCGTAAAAAATCTCGATGCTGACTCGACTCTCGACACCAGAAGAGACTCAACCGTCGCCGCGCCGACCGCCGAGGACGCCCGCGTCGGACGCCGCGAGGCGCTCGACGCACAACGCATGGCGACCCCCACGCCGGCGGCGGCGGCGGTGCCGCTCCCGCAGCTCGTGACGGACGGCTACCGCGCGACGACGTTCGAGTACGATCCCGGTCCGGACGCGGAGGCGCGAGGGATCCCGGGGAAGCGCGAGTGGATCGAGGTGTTTCGCGCGTCTGTGCCCGAATTTCGCAAGCGCGCGGCGTCGGACCCGCGCGTCGCGGACGCGGCGTCGCTCGCGGACGCGTTCGCGGCGGCGTTCGACGAGACGTTAAACGCGATCCTCCGCGGCGACCACGCGGGCTTATTCGACGGCGAACCCACGGTCCTGAAGCTCTGCGCGCTTCGCGACGCGGCGCTTCGCGAGCGCGGGTTCGAGGACTGCTTCGCGGACGTCAAAGCCGAGGAGAACGACGCCGCGCTCGTCGTCCTCCCGAGCGTCCTCGCGGAGATCGACGGCATCCTCGACGCGCGCGATCGCCTCCTCGCGCTCGTGCGAGGCGCGTTCGCCGGGAACGTGTTCGACCTCGGCGCCGCGGCGTCCGCGAAGATGCACGCCGACGGAGACGCGGGGTTCCACGCCACGCGCGCCGCGCTCAAACCGCGGCCGTGGTGCGTCGACGACTTCGACGCGCTCGCGGCGAAGTGGGTGGGGGGCGACGAGGACGAGGACAAGGACGGGGATGAAAAAACGGCTGCTCGTCGCCCGTTTCCCTATAAGAAATGCGTGATGTTCGTGGACAACGCCGGCGCGGACGTCGTCCTCGGGATGCTGCCGCTCGCGAGGGAGCTGACGCGGCGCGGGTGCGACGTGACGCTCGCCGCGAACGAGACGCCGTCGATCAATGACATCACCGCGCGGGAGCTAGTGCCGTTGATTCGCCGCGTCGCGGAGTTCGATCCGGCGACGCGCGCCGCGGTGGAGGAAGGGAGACTGCGCGCCGTCTCCAGCGGGAGCGACTTGCCGGTGATCGACCTGACGAAGATTTCCCCGGCGGCGGCGACGGCGGCGGCGGGGGCGGATCTGATCGTGTTAGAGGGGATGGGGCGCGCGATCGAGACGAACTTGAACGCGAGGTTCACCGTGGACGTCCTGAAGCTCGGGATGGTGAAGCACCCGGAGGTGGCGACGTGTTTGGGGGGGACGCTGTACGACTGCGTGTGCAAGTTCGGGTAAGTTGTTAGTCCTCATTTTAGGTGCTTCGGGGTGAAGCTGAGGGATGTGGGTCGTTGAGCGAGTCACGTAGCAGTCGTCCAGAAGCGGACGGCCAGGCGAGGCGTCACTTCACGTCGCGCGGCACGCACGCTCGGGACGGCACGAGACACTCCGTGCGGATTTGTTACGGGTAGTCCTCATTTTTTATCGAACAGTAGAACTTTTAGAGTTCTTTGCGAAATTGCTCTCGTCGAATCGCGCATAGATCTCGCGCGCGCGCCGACTCGCACGCGTCGCGGGTTCCGTCATGGTGTGCTCGAAATGCGAGAAGAAGCTCACGCGCGGGATCCACCAGGAGATGTGGAAGGAAGGCTCCCGGCACACCATCGAGGGCGGCGGGCGGAAGCTGAACGAGAACAAAGCGCTGAGCTCGAAGAAACGATGGACGCCCTACGGCGCCGGCGGCGGCGGCGGGAAGTGCAAGATATGCAAGCAGTCCCTGCATCAGGAGGGGATATACTGCCACAAGTGCGCGTTCGCGAAAGGCGAGTGCTCGATGTGCGGCGTGAAGGTGATGGACACGACGTACTACGCCGGGCACTCCGAGCCGTTCGATCGCGCGAAAGGGAAGCGCGGGCAAGGCGAGGACGTCGCTGCGGCCGCGGCGAAGGACGCGGGCGGGTCGCTCGGCGCGCGCGGCGACGGCGGCGGCGACGACGACGACGACGGCCCCGAGTTCCTGAACGACGGCCCGCCCCCGCCCGGCACCGAGGAAGCGACCGCGGCGGAGGCGGCCATGGCGGCGGCGACGGCGATCGAAGCCGCGAAAGCGGAGGCGAGCGCCGCGATCGAATCCAATCGAATCTCCGGCACGACGACGCTCGCGCAGTCCGTCGCGGAGCACGCGACCGCGGCGACGGGGCAGTCCGTGACCGGGTGGCAGTACGACAGCGGCAGCGGGCTGTATTACGACACGCAGGCGCAGATGTACTTCGACGCGAAGACGCAAAAGTATTTCTGCTGCAAGTCGCAGAAGTGGCTCGAGAGCGACGTCCCGACCGCGGCGCAGCTCGCGAGCGGGGACACGAAGGTGGGGTCGTTCTCGAGGGGGACGCGCGTGCCGGATAAGTGGGGGTTGTGAGCGCGCGCGCGGAAGAGTACACTAGTAGGTGACGTAACGTTTAGCCGTAGCAGCGAGTAACCGACGCCGAGCGTCGTAGTCGAGTCGAGACGGAGGCGCGATCCTCGCTCGCCTCACGCGCAGTTCGCGCAGAGCCAGTTCACCGCGCCCATGACGTCCCCGCCCGATTCTTTGATCGCAGCCTTGGCCTTTTTGCCGTCGAACCCCATGGCGACGAGCTGGGCGATCGCGTCCGCGTCCGCGGATTTCGCGGCGGCGGCGGCGCCGGAGTCGCGCCGCGCCTTCTTCGCCGCCGCGGGCTTCTCCGCGGACTTCGCCGTCGGCGCGTCGTTCTGAATCCCCGCGCCGCCGCCGCCGCCGCCGCCGCCCGCCGCGCCCGCCTTCTTCCCCTTCGCCGCCTTCGTCGCAATTTTTGCCTTCTCGGGGAACCTCTGCGTCTCCTTCAAGACGCGCTCGTCGCCGTCCGCCAACCCCTGCAGCGTGACCAACCGCTTCCGAAGCGCGACGAGCAGCGCGAGCTTCGCGCTCGCGGGGAGCGAGTCCACGTCCACGGTCATGACGTCCTCGCACCTGTCGCGCTTCACGCCCGCGATCCCGCCTTTGTTGTGGTTCTTCCCCATGTACGCGTCCGCCCCGAGCGGGCCCTTACCCTTCGGCGCCTCCGGGAGCACGACGGCGTCGATCTGCTCCCGCATCAGTCCGTACTTCTCCTGGTTCGCCGCGCGCAGAACGTCCCTCGCCTCTTTGCTCAGCTTCCCGCCCGTGTTGGTGATGAGCGAGTTCTTCCTGTAAATCTCCGGGCCTTGCTTCGCGTTGTTGTCCGCGCGCACGCGGTCGACGTCGAGGTGCATCCCGGTGTACTCCGCGAGCGACTGCTGCCCGAGGAGCCTCTGCGTTTGCCCGTTCAGCTGCTGGATCTGCTTCCCGGGGAGGATCCCGCTGTCGACGATTTGCACCCATCGGCCTGAGCGTTCGCGGGGAGTGGGTGGGTGAGTCGCGCGCGCGGAAGGAGCGCGGGGGGAGGGGGCGAGCGAGGGTGGGGGCGCGCGATCGGAGCGAAGAGGGAGAGATTTGAACGCACCGATGCCGAATTTCATGAGGCACAGGCGGAGCTTCGCGACCTCCTCGAGCTTCCATCCGGGGGACGGCGTGAAATTCCACAGACTCCGCGCGTCGCCAATCTTCGGGCCGGCGAGTTCCGCCATCGTGAACGAGTGCGAGGGTGGTGAAGTACGGCGCGGTGTGCGGCGGACTATGAAGCACGATGACGCGATTTCAAACATCTCGTCCGGTTGGCGCGCGTGGCGCGCTAGTGTTCTGTTCTGTTCGTTGGGACGCGAAGACAAAGCACAAAGCACGGACGCCGCGCTGCTTCTCCGGTATCGAGCGTTTCTTTCAACACGCTACGCGACGACTACGAAATCACCACCCACCGTCCCCGCCTTTCTTCTCGCCCCGCGACGGCGCCCGCGCCCGCGAGGTCGGTCGAGCGCGCCGCCGCCGCGTCGCGGGCGCGCGCATAAAAAATAAATAAATCCCCGCGCGAGACGAGACGAAACGCCTCCCTCGTCACGCCTCCCCCGCGGCGACGAGCGCGTCGTACCGCTCCTGCCGGGTCTCGTCGTCCTTGTTGATGCAGCACACTTCGTACCCCTCGCGCATCATCAAGATCTCCGAGCACTTGTTCGCCACCTCGAACGCGTTCACGAACGTGTCCGAGAAGTCGAAATCGATGAGCTCCTGCGCGACGCCCATCACGAGCGAGCCCATCTCCTCGCACCCTTCCAACCGCATCTCGGTGCACTTCTCCGCGGCGCGCATCCCCAAGTCTCTGTGCGGCTCCTGTATCGACCACTCGTCGTCGAGCCACAGCTTCAGCATCCCCGCGAGCCACGCGATCTCCGCGTCGCGCTCGTCGCGCGTGATCTGCCTCATGTAGATGCCCTGGTCCGAGTTTCGCGTGGAGACGTCGTCGTCGCCGTCCGCGCGCGCCGCGACGCCGCGCCGCCGCCGCGCGAGGGGAGGGACGACGGCGCGGGCGGGAGCGGTCGCGGCCGCGGCGGCGCGCGACCCGTGGGTCGCGCGAATCGACGGCGCCGCGAGGGTGGACGTGGTCGCCATCGCGCGGAGGAATGAGCGACGCGCGCTCGAGCGCGAGCGCGACACGTCTTATCCGAGGAGTCGGGGCACTGCAGTTAGCAGTGCGCTGTCGGCGAGAGGGAAAACCGCGCGCGCAACGCAACGTGTGTGTTCTGTAGTATTACTAACGTCGCCGCGGCCGCGATGGCGGTCTAATATGACCCCACCGCGCCCGCGAGACGCGTCTGCTATGATTCTGCGTCGCCGCGCGCGCGTCGCGCGCGAGGGAAAGTACACCCGACGACAGGACTGACGTCGCTCGACCCGTCGTCTCGTCGTCTTCTCGTTCGCTCGTCACCCGCTCTTCGCGCTTCTCGTCCCCAACCCGCTGCGAAGCCTGCCGAAGAACCCCTGCTTCTCGCTCCCGCCGCCGTTCCCGCCGCCCCCTGCCCCCGACGCCTCCGTGTGCTTCAGAAGCTCCACGATCTGCTCGAACTCCGGCCGGACGTTCGGGTCGCTCTGCCAGCAGTACTGCATCACCTGCGCCATCACCGGGTGGCAGCTCGGCGGAATCGTCGGCCGCAACCCGCGCTGCACGACGCCAACCGCGGCTTGCAACGGCGTGTACCCCGGGTACGGAATGTCCCCGCCGCTGATGAGCTCCCAGAGGAGGATGCCGTACGAGAACACGTCGCACTTGTGATTGTAGTGCTGGTGGGAGATAACCTCCGGGGCCATCCATCGGTACGTCCCCGTCTCCGCCGTCATCGCCGCGCCGTCGGCGGCGACGACGCGCGCGACGCCGAAATCCGCAACCTTGACCACCTCGTTCTCGTCCATCAACAAGTTCGCCGTCTTCAGGTCGCGGTGAATGACGGACACTTTGTGGAGGTAGTCCATCCCGAGCGCGACGCCGCCGCTCAGTTTCAAAAGCTGCGGCAGCTTCAGCGGCGCGTTCTTGTGAAGGAACTGCAGCACGCTCCCGCCCTTCATGAAATCCGTCACGAGGCACAGGCGCGGCGGTTTCGTCATGGCGCCGATGAGTTGCACGATGTTCCTGTGCCGCACTTTCCTCAAGATGCTCAGCTCCTGCGCAAACTCGCGGTACACCTCCTCCTGCGAGCTCTTCTCCCCCGTCTTCAGAACCTTGATCGCCACCTCTTGCCCGCAGTAGCCGCCGCGGTACAAAACCCCAAACGCGCCGCTCGCGATCTTTTCCTTGAAGCTGAGCTGCGCCTCCTGAATCTCCCACTCGCTGTCCGTCGTCCCCGTGCTCAGCGTCCTGACGTGCGTCCCGCCCCCGCCCTCGACGCCGCCGCCCGCCGCGCCCTCCTCCTCGCCCCCGGATGGACCCCCGGGCGCGATCTCCTCGTCCCAACGCACGCGCTCCAGCCGTTTCTGCAGCGCGTCGTTGAGCGCGGCGGCGTCGTCGAAGCACCCCGCGCCCTGCGCGACGAAGACGTCCAACGCGTATCCGTCGTTGGTACAGAAGACGTGCGCCTCCGTGATGTTCAATCCGAGGTCGAACAAGCTCGCGGAGACGCGCGAGAGCATGCGCGGGCGGTTGCGACCGCTGACCGCGATCTCGAACACCGGCAGCGGGGTTTTCCCGCCGACGCCGCCCTCGTTCATCTGATCCTCCAGCGTCTGCAGCGTGAAGGATGAGCCGAACGTGGGCGCGCGGAGGCGCGCGCCCTTCGAGCCGCCGACGGCGACGCGACCGTCGGACGCGCTCGGCGAGGAGGACATCGCGACGTCCATGTCGTTGAGACTGTTTCCGATCGAGTTCGAGACGTCGCCGAACACGGACGATAGGCGCACGCCGCGAGATTCGCACAGCACCGCGCCCGGGGTTCGCTCCGCGCGCTCGAGCAGGCGCACGTGCGAGCGTATGTCTTCTAGGTTGTGAATGTCGAGCGCGTATCGCCGCGGCAAACGCGTAAAATGCGTCTTGAGCGCCGCCTCCAACGTCGGGTCTTGTGCGATGATCGGCCACGTCTCTTTCAGGCGCTCGAGCACGCGGAGCGCGACCTGCTCCTTCGACGCTTTCGACGAAGCCGGCGTCATCCTCGCGCGCGCCTTCGCGGGATTTTTCCTCTAAAACGCGTCCGCGAACGCGTGAGAGGCGCGCGCGAGATTCCCTGCCTTTGTGCCTCCTTTTCGCTCGCGCGGTCGGGCCTTGCGTCCCTCGCGACTTCGCGCGAGGGACGCCAGCGCGAGCGCGATACCCCGCGACGCGCGTCGACGCGCGCCACCACTATCGCCGCCCTCGCGGTCCCCTGGGCCCTCGCGCGCGGCGCAGTGCCGGCGAGCGCGCGGCGTCTCTCCGGTTGACGGTTTTCGTAGGAAGCGGTCACCGTGCCGTCATCACGTGGAAAAAAAAATAAAAAAAAAATCAGAAAAAAATCCACGCCGATCGACCAATCGTGAACCAACGGTCAACGGTTATGGTTATGGGTCAACGGTTATGGTTTTGGCGGGCTCGATCCGCGAGGTTGACCGGGTCAGGTATTATGCGGGAACCTGTCTATTTGCCCGTAGCCTTCCACGCTTCCGTACTACGAACGGCTTCTGCATAAATCTAACCCAACGTCCGCGACGCTCGCGCGCCCTCGGCGGCTCGAAAGCGACGCGCGGCTTTTCGCAAAGGGGCGAGACGCGGACGACGCGCGCGCGCTTCCGTCGACGCGCGCGCGCGACGATGCGACGCGTCGTCGTCTTCGCGCTGCTCCTCGCGCTCGCCGTCGCCGCGCGCGACGTCCGCGCGGACGGCGGCGTGCGGGTCGTGGACCGGCACGCGCGGCGTACGTACCGCGGCGGAGACGGCGGCGACGCGGACGCCCTCTTCGACTCGTCGACCGTCGTCGAGTCGCGAGAGCCGTCCGCCGCCGCCGCCGCCGCCGCCGCCGCCGCCGCCGCCGCGCGAGCGACGAGGACGGCGACGGTGGCGGCGGCGGCCCCGCGACGCGCGCC